TAGGCTGATGTTCCAATATTCATTAATTGTCTCTCATATGACCTTTCAAAAGCCTGGACACCCCTTTTAATATGGGTTTGTTGAAGATTAAATATTCTTTGCAGTTCCTTCCACCAAGAAGTAGAGTGGGTTTCCTCTCCCCTCAGATCTGGAGTGGTCTTATGTCTTGATAGGAACAATAGAATGCAGTGTGAAAAATGCTTTGTGTGTTTTGAGGCTAATCACTAGGACATTTACAATTTTGACTTTTGTGTCTTGGAATATACTTTATTGAACTCATGGACAACAAAGGTCTCTTGCAGACAGCCTGCGCTGGGCTTCTGACCAAAGCCAATGACAAATGCCAGTTTTCTGTGTATCCACTGCCCTAATAAACAGAAAGCAGAAGAATGCAGTCATTTCAAGGACTTATGAGAATGATAAACTGGTTGTTTCAAGCCACTAAGTTTCAGAGTAATTTGTTACGCAGCCTTAGATAACTGATAGGTCCGGGTTGCAAATGGCTTCTAAGTATTAAATTCAGATCTAAATATGTTGACTATGAGTAATAATGAGTAATGAAATGAGATTTTTTTTTCTTCTTTGGTTTTGATACCACATTTATATAATTCTGGTAGATTTTCACAGCTGTATTTTCATAGCCTGTGGAGTTTGAAATGATTTCTAAGACCAGAACACTTTTTGCTCATGCTGACTTATAGAGGAAGAGTGTTGAAATTAGTTCTGTGTTTTATTTCTCAGTTCCCTCTTCTGGAAATCAAAGAATGAGTTCTGATTTTTTTTTCTAGATTTGTTGGAATGATAACAAACATTATTTTCATTATTGTCATACCTATGTGTAAACCAATGACCTGAACATTCACTCTCAGTTAATTCACACAACCACATGTGGTTAATATGTGATTCTCCTTTATAAGTGAATAAACTGAGAATCAGAGAGGTGAATTTATTTCCTAGGGGAATTAAATGAAAGAGATAGGGCCTGGTTAACACTTCTCTGACTCTAGGCAACTGTTCTGTTTTATCAACAATAAAAGTGGTCGAAGCGCGTAAACTGAGGCATGAACACAGGATAAGAACAGAACAACTTTTTTCAGTGGAGAACTGATTTCACTGAGAGAGGTGAGGGCATCCATGGTGTTTGGCCTGGCACGGGGAGTCAAGGCCCAGGAAGAGTAAGAACAGTATCCACCGAGGGGCCACTTAATAGTCAGAAGGTCAAAGCCCTTGCAGAGAGACGAGGGCATCTACATTTATGTACATACGTATACATAGATTCTCTAGCTCTGTCCACTGGGAGGGCCTCGGAGCAGGACACCCTGATTGAAATGAGTAATCTAGTGGCTGGATGATTCCACAATATTACTCTTTTTCTAAAAAAGAAGTGAGGGTCACTCCCTGGAGGAAAGGTTCATTCCAGGGCAGGGGCGAAGAATAGTGAAGATGATCTGGACCATGTTGTAGCAGCAGAAAGTAAGCAAATGCATGAAGAATGACAGCCACTGGGGGCAGATCAGGACTGGCTGCTGAAGCTCTGGCTTCCACAGATGAGCCTAGGGAGAGGACTGGGGCTGACTGCCCAGATGCAACCTCAGATGGCTGGAGTGTGATGCAAGCTGAGGCTAGAAGAGAAGGCAAATCAGCCTGGGTCCCTCCATAGAGAGCACCATTGCTGGTGTGCATGGGAGGAGGGGCACAACGCAGCTGCAGCCAGGGCAAAGCATCCATCTCCATTAGCCCAGAGGGTGTTCCTCGGCACCATTGTTCTGCGACAAGAGAGGCAGGGTTCAGACACAGTCATCTTCTGGCTTTGCTCTGAAGGGGCACAAAGGCTAGTGCACAGTACGCCCCTGCCCCCCAGGGGAGGTGAGGCTGAAATCTGAATCCATACCCGGGGGTCCTGCGACTCTGCAGGTGGGACCGAGATTTGATTCTGCCCCAGGCAGCGGGGGCAGATTTTTCTCCTCTGTTGCCTTTGTATTTTTATGTAGGTTAGTTGCATTTCTTAAGGTTGGAGAAGTGGCCCTCTGTATGAGATGTCCTGTGTGTCCCAGCAGTGCAGTCCCCTCTTGTCACCCGAGGGCCAGGGTCCAGCTGGTCCTAGGGTACAGTCTGGCCTGCATTTGCAGATTCCTTGCACATGCTGTGGGATTCTTATTTTCTTACTTCTGGTATCTGGTGTGCAGGTTTCTTGGCAGGATGGGTCATGCCTGCCCACTGCTGGGTGGAGCTGGGTCCTGGCGTCTGGTGGGCAGGGTTGTGCCTAGGGGTGTCTGGAGGTGGCTGTGGGCTCAGGAAATCTGCTGATGGGTGGGATTGTGTTCCCACTCACTATGTTGTTTGGCCTGAGGCTTCCCAGCACTTAGCCTACAGGCTGTTGGGTGGGGCCAGGACTTGGTGCCAATGACCCAAGCAAGATGTCAGCCTCCAGGAAAGCTCATATAGATGAACACTTTTGGAATGTCTGCCACTATCCTTCATGCCCCCGGAGTAAGCCACAGCCACCCCCCACCTCCCCAGGGGACCCTCCAAAACCAGCAGGCAGGTTTTGGAGGTGTGTGAGAGAGACCCACCCTACCAGAGCTTCTGTCTGTATCTTCATCTGTTTGTTGTACAACTTGAAATCACTCTTGCATATTGGTGATAGAGTAAAACAAAACAAACAACAAAAAAAAACCCGGTACCAAGTCAGTACAGGATTTGGTGCACTTCCAAGAAATACCAGTCTGAGATCTCCATTGACCTAGAGAGATTTTGAAGATTTCCTAGTGGCTTTACTATGCATGTTTCCTCTCCCTACCCTGTTACCTCTTTTCCCACCCTCCAATAAGCAGATCCCTCTCTGCAGCAGCAGGGACACCTGTTTTTGGAAACCAAGAATCTCTTGCAACTTCATAGAATTTTTCTTTTAGGATCCCTTCACGCTGTCATCTCACTGTGACATTGCATTAAATGTGTGGATGGCCTTGGGCAGTATGGCGATATTAACCATGCTGATTCTTCCAATCTGAGAACATGGGATCTCTTTCCATTTCTTTAAGTCATCTGTAATTTCCTTAATCAGTGTTTCTTAGTTCTCCATGTATGAGTCTTTCACCTCCTTGGTCAGATTTATTCCTAAGTATTTTATTGCTTTGGATGCAATTTTAAAAGAGATTGTTTATTTACTTTCTTTTCCTGCTAATTTATGTTAGTGTAAAGAAATGCAACTGATTTTTGTATGTTAATCTTGTATCCTGCTACCTTGCTGAATTCTTTTATCAGCTCTAGTAGTTTTTGTGTGGCGCTTTTAGGGTTTTCTATACATAGTATTAGATCATCCCCATATAGTGACAATTTCAACTGTTCTCTTCCAATTTGGATCCCTTTTATTTCTTTTTGTTGCCTGATTGCTGTGGCTAGGACTTCCAAGCCTATGTTAATAGAATTGGGGAGAGTAGGCATCCTTGTCTTGTTCCAGATTTTAGTGGGAAGGCTTACACTTTTTCACTGTTGAATATTATGCTGACTGTGAGTTTGTCGTAAATAGCTTTTATTATGTTGAGATATGTTCCCTCTATACCCATATTGGTAAGAGTTTTTCTCATAAATTGGTGTTAAATTTTATCAAATGCTTTTTCTGCATCTATGGAGATAATTGTATGGTATTTGTCCTTTCTTTTGTTGATGTGATGTATCACATTGATTGATTTGTATATGTCGAACCATCTTTCTGTCCCTGGGATGAACCTAACTTGATCATGGTTATAATCTTTTGTATGTGTTGTTGGATTCTGCTTGCTAATATTTTGTTGAGGATTTTTGCATCTATGTTCATCAATGATATTGGCCTATCATTTTTTTTTTTGCAGTGCCTTTTTCTGGTTTTAATATCACAGTGATGGTGGCATCATAGAATGAGTTTGGGACTATTCCCTCCTCTTGACTCTTTTGGAACAGTTTGAGAAGGTTCAATATGACCTCTGTAAGCATTAGAATGAAAATGATCACTTGGCTGCTGTGAGGACAAAACTGAGGGGTCCAGGGTAGAAATAAGAAGCTTGTTAATTAGCTCTTGCAACTGATTGGAGAGACTTCGATGAGGGAATGTTGGTGCAGATGGAACCCTGAGGGGAGGATTCAAGAAAATACCAGGAGATGAGCTTGATAGGATGAGGTGATGAGGTGGATATGACTTGTCAGGGAAATGGAGGTTTCAGAATGACTCCCAGGTGTCTGACTAATATAAGAGGACGTGTGGTGGTGCCATTCAAGGAGATGGGGATACTGGCCTCTCCTGGCTCTTAGGATAAAACCAGTGCCTGTTCCCATGACACCCAGTGCATGATTTTACCTTTGCCTACCCATCCTGCCTCATCTCACATCCCTCTGTGCCTGTCCATGGGTTTCAGCCACAGGGATGCACTTTCAGTTCTTTGGAGAAATCAAATTCTCCTTGTCCTCAGGATATTTGCATATTCAGGAACCTCAATCCAAAATATTCATGGCCAAGATGGGTTCTTCACAACTTCGAGTCCCAGCTTAAATGACACTTTAAGGGAGGGGGGAGGGGCAAATAGGAGTGGGGATGTAAGAGGTACAAACTATTATATATGAAATAAATAAGCTACAAGTATACACTATACAACACAGGGAATATAGCTAACATTTTATAATAAGTATAAATGGAGTATAATCTTTAAAATTGTGTATCAGTACATTGCACCCCTGAAACATATAATATAGTACGTCAAATACACATCAATAACAAATTTTTAAGTGTCTTCTGAAGTAGGGAATAGTCACGTGAAGCGTCTGGAAACACTATCAGATAAAGAACAGTTGATGAAAATGGAGACGTTCAAGTTAGAGACAAGGGGAGGAAAAGAATGATACATCCTACTGAAAATGTGAGTTCTCTTTATCAGAACAGGCTCTCTGGAGTTTATGACCCAAGGAAAAGATTATCTGGTTATCCCCTTCTGAACAGAGCCCCCCAAATGAAAACAGGACAAACTAAAATCACTTCATTGCTTTATTCATTCTCTATGGGGGTCACTACATTTGAAGAAGGAAGGAGAGCGCCATCCCCTCCCACCTCTGCTCCTGCTCTGCTCCGCTGTCACACCAGATACGAGAGGGCCTCCTGAAAATCAAAAGGACAGTGGTAAAAACAACACCAGTTTACCTGTCATTAGCACCTTTCCAGAAACAGTCACTATCCTATTTCACCACCATGTCACTGACAAGGAAAGGGAAGCTCTGAGTGGTTAAGTCCCATCCAGAACCACAGAGCTGGGAAGTGGCCCACATTTCACAACTAGAACACAGGTCTCTGTCCTTCCAAAATCCCTTCTACAAGTGTGGACACTGAGCTTTCCTTGAGATTCCAGGACATGGAAATTTTGTGTGAGGAGAGTCAGCAAAGGGGAAATACAGGTTCACAGATGAGGACAGGGTTGGGTGGGAGTCAGGGGAGAGGGTGGGCATTCAGGGTGACTAGGTCCTGCCCTTTGACAAGTTAGCCTCACAGGTCATAGTTACCAGCAGTTTCTTCACGGAATTCGCAGCCTCCGGTCCAAGCCCATTCACACATTTCCGCAGCCCTTCCAGAAGATGCTCAACAGAAATGCCCAGAGTTTTCAGAAGTAGCTTTAATGGGCTCAAGAGGGGGAGAATTTTGTCCGCAGGTACAAGTGAGACACTGCTGACAGGTGACAAAACGCCGAGGAGGAGGGCGCTGGCTGCAGAGCAAAAGAGACCCCGCGTAAAATAGGCACTTCCAGCTCTGGTGACCTCAGCTGGTCCACGCTGTCCATCAGTGGCTCCATCCCAGCCCCACTCATCTCGATCTTCCAGGAAAACTTCTGCTTCGGGACCTTTGTACGTGCCATTCCAACTGTCTAGAACGTTGCTTCCCCAGATAGCTACACATCTTTCTTCCTCCCATCATTCGGTCTCTCCTCCAACGTTACCTTCTCAGGGACGTACCTATAAGAGCATCACCTGTCACCCTCAGTCTCCCTCTTCTCCCACCAATACCTGAAATATCAAATCTTTGGTTATTTCTGTATTTTGCTTCATTCTGCCACTGGAATGTAGGCCCATGAGAATAAGCAATTAATGTTTTATTCACACTGTACTACATGCCTAGATCAGACCCTGGCATGTGGGAAGCACCAGATAGATACTGGAGACTGAC